TCAATTAATTAAGGCCGGTGTTCATAGAGAACGCGTTCGGAGAGCGCGAATAGCTGACTATAAGTCAACTTTTACAAGTCGACAAATCCATTCTAGAAAAAGTCTGCTAAATGTCGACTTTAAAAGTCGACTTCAAGCTGACGAAAAAATGTCGACTTACAGTTGCCAAACAGTCAGGTGTGCTGTGTGGGTCCATATAAAAATATACTACTAGTGTCACTAATGCAATAAGTAAATTCGACAATAGTGTCACTAATAGTGTAATAGTGGTGGAGAAAATTTCATTAAACTTTGATTAAACTGAAGTTTAAGTGTGAAAATAAGTATTACTGATTAACGTCATATTTCAGAGGATACACGACGAAATAAAAATAAAAAAAATTTTCCTTAATAAAGGAAAATGTTTTTATTTTTATTTTGTCGTGTATCCTCTGTGTATCATCATTCACCCATTCGAATCTGTATCTCCATTTAACGTGCTTAATCGACTTCTGTGATCGTACAGAAACTTCTCCTTTGAAGAACCATAAACATCTATAATGCTAATGGACGTATAGTTGTAACATATCTAGTCAAAGATATGTTGTGAAAGAGACGGAACACGTATAGAAAAAATAATTAGTGTTAAATATAATTGTAATGTACAAATGATGATATCTATATGATAATAACTTGTTTTTAATAATACTGTAAAATATATTATTCCTACTAGCTGAAATAATACTAATTGCTCTAATAATATATATGTATTTTTTACTCTAATAACTTTTTTATACCAAATATTACAATTACTGAAAATAGTTCTATGTCATATGTCGTCATACACTACTACAACAGTAGTAACATTACTGGCTCAGCAGTGACACTATTGCGTATCAATAGTGATACTATTGAATATCAGTATATTACTGTAGTAGCAATGACACTAGTAGTATATTTTCATACACGCCTGCTGCGCGGTAAAATGTAATGCCGTAACTAATAAGCTTACAGCTTCTAACATGTTCACTAATCTAACCTAATTTTAAATTTAATATACAAAAGTACTGGACAAAAGTATTGACACAGAGGATGCTACTATAAAATAGAAGTATTTTCAAAAATTTAATTCTCCGAAAATATTATTTCATAGTAGTAATCGTGTACCAATATTTTCGTTCAGCACTATATACGCAAGCATGCGCGAGGCTGTGTATATGTACGTGTGTATGTTCATGTATACATGACATCACTATGATAGAGACATCACTATTATATACACGCAGATACTATAGAGACGTATTGAAGACATACTCATACATCTTAGAATAACTACGGTATATCACTAGGAGCTCCCTGCGAAAGTCTACGGGATGAGAAACATCCCCTACAGCACAAAAGTTGCAGCAACAATGCGCAACATTGCAGCAATATTGCATGTTGCAGCAATATTGCAGCGTTATTACGACGATATTGCTGCAAATTCTGTGCTGTACGGTATAGTAGATTCTGAAGAAATACTCTGTACATCACAGATGTGTCTCGAATATCTTGACGACGTATTCAACATACGTTTGCGATTCTAACGTTGTCAGAACGTAGATGGCTATCTGGGTATATATCGTTTATAAAACATTCGGGATATTCGGTTCTGATAATTAAGGTGATAACTGCAAATATAAATTTTTTGAGTTCTGGAAATGTACTCAGAACAACAACCAAAAAACTATATTTTTTGATGTGCAAATAGTCAATAGATAGTTATACTTTTTTAAATTTAGGTTATACTTTTTTCACAATTAGGAATATATATCTATTTATGCTTGTAAAAAAAAAGCAAGAGTAAAAAACATGTAAAAAATAAGCAGACGTAAAGTCTACATAGTAAAAATTACATAAAGCATTTTTACTACTTTAATTCAGTGGTCGCAAGGATTTGCACATTTCGGACCGATTCCGGCGCGCGACCCTCACCACCGCACGGCCGAGCCGCCGGGCGTTCACGTGACGCTCTGACTCAGGGGCGCTCCTATACCAAAAATATACTAGGAGCCTTCCGCCAAATTATTATTGAAATGTTATTTATTAAATAATTTATATAATTATATTATTTATTTAATAATTTATATTATATTAAATAACTTATATTTATATTAAATAATCGATTAACATAAAATTTTCTATCGTAAATGTATTCATTGTTCGTAATTACATTTTAATATATTAGAGAACTACGTATTAGAAACTATTTAAGATATAAGAGTATTTCATTAAGGAACATTAAGACATTAAATTTACATTTGCACATAGTTTTCGCATGTATTCTAGTACATGCATTGTATTTTTGTACCAATGCGAAGCTAAATACAACAATATTTGTAACAATTTTCAATTTTGTATTAAATTATTTATAAAATATTAACAAATAGTAATGAAATCTTAATGAAATTTTAATGAATTTTAATAAAATCTTAATGAAATAATATTGAAAGTGGGTCAATTGATATTATAGACTTCAATATGAAATTCAATCAATAATATTTCATCATTATTCGTTACAATTCAGGAACAAATTTTTATCAGTGTTTTGCATATTTTAAAAGGAAAAGAATCTTCTGTATTCGTACATATATTTACTTGAAAAATGTATGCATTCGTACATAAAAATAAATTATAAAAGCGACATATATTTTTATTATGCAATATTTAAGCCCTAGACACACAATGTTAAGCGACAAGAACAACGATAGGAATAGTATAGAAATAAACGATATATTGTATAATTGTCGCCTCTCAATGCTGCGGAAGAAATAAAAGGCTAACCAATCTGATCGCAGACTGTAGTATTCTTTCATCTGCTTCAAAATTATAGCGTATATAAACAAAATGAAAAATCTGAACGCTGATTAATAGGCTATAAGGCGATAGAATTCCAAATCGTCGGAAATTTATCACTATTAGCCTTATTCTGTATTCCTATATGCTTTGACATATGCATTATATTCCGGAATCCTGGATTCCTCTATCACTATCGCTATCGCTATTGCCTCGCATTGTGTTTAGGGCCTTAGATACACATATTTGTGTATAAAGGGCATACCGCAGGATAAACAAGTGATTTCTGCCCCCAGCCGGATCCAGTCGAGATTTTAATTATAAGTCACCACTGATGTCTGTGTTATTTCCCCAAAAGCATATATCTCAAAATGGCCTTTATGGGAATTATGGAGGTATAAAGGAAAAAAAAAAATTTTTTTTTCTCGACAACGGCTTGACCGATTTTGATGGAAAAAAATATGTTATGGGGCTCAATGGGATAATGTTTAAAAAAAAATTAAGGAACAATTTTGTCAAATAGAAATTGTTGAAAAGAATTGTTAAATTTTTCTCGAATTTTTTTTTGTGAGATGCGATTGAGACACTACTTTTATATTTTAACAAAAAAAGCTTTGAATACTTTAGTATAACATAAAAAAATCCTCAAAACGATTGGAAGGGTAGCATGTAGTTAAACAAATTAAAGTTCTCGATGGTGCGCGCGCGCGGTGCTCCGATCGCGCTATGATCGCACGCTACGTTGGGAGCTTGTGCAAAACATTGTTTTGTGCGCTCATTTCTTTCTTTCACACAATGTATCCATAATTTTAGATTTATAAAAACATTGTTTTGTGCGCTCATTTCTTTCTTTCACACAATGTATCCATAATTCTAGGTTTATAAATACTTTATATTACATGCCGTGGTATTTTATATATATTTTATAGTAGAACTCGAAACGAATTGCATATTTCGGTCGATTTTCAGCTCGTCTCTGCTTACCGACATTCCCCTTACTCCGAACTCCCGTAAGTAGTCCAATTGTCGATCGATATTTTGGATTGACATTCAGGATGACATTCGTACACACACGAGCAGGAGTCTGGCATATTGGTGTAACAACAACCAATTAGTAAATAGAGAAGGAACGTTCATTCTTTTATCTTCCTCTCATTCTACTCGCTACCCCCACTACTGCTATCCATTCTATACTTGCTTTCGTTTATTTTTGTCGTACTTGATTTGTTATATTTGTCGTAGTAAAGATGTCTAAGCTATTGAAAAATCGTAAATGTCCTGGTTGTGATAAGGTTTTATCTAAAGTACGTGACCAGAAGAAAAAATCTTTCATCTTCAATTTCAATTTTTTTCTTCTGGCCACGTACTTTAGATAAAACCTTATCACAACCAGGACATTTACGATTTTTCAATAGTTTAGACATCTTTACTACGACAAATATAACAAATCAAGTATGACAAAAATAAACGAAAGCAAGTATTTTTAGCTACAAAGAATGTGTTTGAAAAAAAAAAAAAACACAGGGCGTAACAAAGAGCTATAGTATATATACTATTTAGGATAGAGCAAAGGAAGCTTAAATAATAATAGCCAATAAAATGATTTATTTGGACTTCAGCTAATTCGTCATTTCAGTTGGATGATTTAGGATAGGCCTCGGAACGATTTGCCGATTTTTAGTTCAGAGCTCCTCGCTATCAAGAAACAATAGTATTTCACGCTAAGTGAACACGCAGCGCGAGATTCCTATCGACGTATAGAATGGACTGATAACAGTAGTGAGGGTAGCGAGTAGAATGAGAGGAAGATAAAAGAATGAACGTTCCTTCTCTATTTACTAATTGGTTGTTGTTACACCAATATGCTAGACTCCTGTTCGAGTGTGTACGAATGTTATCCTGAATGTCAATCCAGAATATCGATCGACAATTGGACTACTTACTGGAGCTCGGAGTAAGGGGAATGTCGGTAAGCAGAGACGAGCTGAAAATCGACCGAAATATGCAATTCGTTTCGAGCTCTACTATAAAATATATATAAAATACCACGGCATGTAACATAAAGTTACATATTAGGTTTATAAAGTATTTATAAACCTAGAATTATGGATACACTGTGTGAAAGAAAGAAATGAGCGCACAAAACAATGTTTCGCACAAGCTCCCGACGTAGCGCGCGACCAGGCCTATGGCACTCAAGAGGTTTTCTATAGTTTAATGTGACCCCGCTATTGTCCGAAATCCGCTGGGGGCGCTGATAGTAACTTGGTCCACTTCTATTAGTGAAGTGAGGTTATTTTTGTCCGTTTTCCCATTCTTGTCGTACGTGATCGTGATTAAATGTGATCAAATGTTATCGAACATTAAATCGCATTAATGTGTACATGTGTGGAATTATGCCGCATTGCATAGCACCGGGTTGTACTTCTGGATATAAATCTAATCCGGAAAAAGTTCATTTTTTTACTGTGCCTAAAGATGAAAATATGATAACTTTATGGCAAAATGCTATACGAAGAAAAGACTTTGTGATCCGAGCAGGACAGTTTCTTTGTGAAAAACATTTCTTGCCTGAAGATATATTGTGGAAACGAGAACTTACAAGTCCTGATGGACAAGTACTCGGCGTTGTAAGTAATAAAATAAATATTTTGTTATTTATTTACTTGAACAATGCAGCTAATGCAGCTTATATAATCTTTGTTTTTTAGTCGCATTATAGACAACCAAGGTTGCGAAAAGGGGTCATACCTTCGCAGTTTCCATGGATGGAAATTTCTACATCTGTATCATTGGATAACTCGTTGCTGCAAGACACACCTTTTCAAGAAACAGTTTATAAATTTGATGCACTACATTGTACACGAAATAATTTACAAGAAGCAAGATCGGATGAGCCATCAAAATTTTCTTTTATCAATTTGATTACTTGTGCTACATTGCAAATACCAATAAACTGGATCAGGCGTACTGTAACCTGCGAGGCAATTACAATGGAGTCATTTACAAATGTAATGTGTCGAAAAATTGGAAACAGTTTTGTTACTGTTAATATTAAAGAACTTATTGTGCAAGAAAACTTGTGCCTCAAAATCAATGTGATGTGCAAACCCTTTGATGTTACCAGTTTGGTATTTCCAGTGATGCAATTAGTAGCATTGAAGACATAGAGGCTGCATTAATTGCTTTGAATTTAAAAAATATTTGTTGTGGAGCATCTACAAATAATGTATGTACACATAATTCAAGTATCAGTTATATAGATCATTTTAACATTCTACGACATAAACAATGTATTGTACTTCTTGATAACGAAAACCAATGCACACATTGCAAAAGGCTCTGTCAAACATTAAAAAGAAAAAAACTTCGTTTGGAAAAACAACAAAATAAAAGAATTCGATTGACATTAACTCCAAGAAATAATGAAAAGCTTCTAAAATTAAGAAATAAATGTCATGCGGCTCTTAAAGCTAAAAAACGAGCCCAAGTGAATATTGCAAAAATTAAAGCTAATCTCGAAAAAGTTCAGAGAAAAATGGCTGAAATAAATAATGAATCAGTTGATGAAATGTTGACAAACAGAAATGTACCAAAAAATCAACGAATTGCAATAAAAGAAATCATATCAGCAGCAAATTCGAAAAATAAACATGGGAAAAGATATTCGGAAGAGTGGCTGCTTCTTTGCATGTTGATGCATATGCGGTCGCCGATGTCATACAACTTTTTACGAGACAATGAAATCTTGCCTTTACCATGTGTGCGTTCTATTCGAAGGTTCTATTATTATTAAATTTTATTATTATTAAAATACACATAATGTATATACATACATATTCGCTTTACAACTTTTCAATATTTATTTGTATAGGTATCTTTCTATTGTTGATACGACCTGTGGATTTGATCCATCATTTTTTGAATTGTTAAAAACAACATTTCAGCAGAAAGATATTTTGGAACGTCATGGAATTATACTATTTGATGAAATCTCTACTCGAGAAAGCATTTTTGTCGACTCAAAAAATTTGACATATAAAGGTCTTATTGATTTTGGCGATGATAGAATTCAATCAACTGATATCACAAAAAAGGCTAATCATGGATTAGTACTAATGTTTCAAGCAATTAATGCAAAGAGCGCGACCATAGCGCGATCGGAGCACCGCGCGTGCGCACCATCGAAAACTTTAATTTAACTACGTGCTATTCTTCCAATCGTTTTGAGGATTTTTTATGTTATACTCATGGTATAAAGACAAGGGTATGCTCATCCCGTGGAAATCCACTGCGCATCTCAACAAGCTTACGTCACATTCGTAAAAGAGAGAAAGAGAGAAGTTTATATGTATACACAACCCCTCTCTTTCTCTCCTTCGAAACGTGACGTACGTTGGTTGAATGTCACGTGGTACCTATATGCGCATAAGCATACCCTTGTTCTTGTATCATGGTTATACTAAAGTATTCAAAGCTTTTTTTGTTAAAATATAAAAGTAGTGTCTCATTCGCATCTCACAAAAAAAATTCGAGAAAAACTTAACAATTTTTTTTAACAATTTCTATTTGACAAAATTGTTCCTTAATTTGTTTTAAACATTATCCCATTAAACCCCATAACATATTTTTTTCCATCAAAATCGGTCAAGCCGTTATCGAGAAAAAAATTTTTTTTTTCCCTTTATATCTCCATAATTCCCATAAAGGCCATTTTGAGATATATGCTTTTGGGGAAATAACACAGACATTAGTGGTGACTTATAATTAAAATCTCGATCGGATCCGGCTGGGGGCAGAAATCACTTGCTTATCCTGCTATGCTCTTTACAAAAAAAATTATGCTCTATAAAATGGATTTACAAGTAACGCTTTTTAGGCTTTTACGAGTATTATTTTTAAAAATACCAGAAAGTTTGTGGATTATCGCCGTGTTTTTATTTACAAGTATATTTATATACTTTCATAAACTTTTAAAGAAATAAATAGTTGATAAACTATTTAATTTATTTAATTTATACATATTACGTCGCTTGTGTAAATACTTTAATAACAATCATGCATACGTAAATTGTTTATTTATATATCTAAATTATATTACATTATAATTATAAATCATCTAGTTCTACTTTCTTTTTACGTTTTTTTGCTATTTTGTTTCCTTTCAAACTGTCTAGCTTTCTTTTTTTAGCCTCCTTCTTCTTTTGTTGTTTAGCTAGTTTACGTTTAGCCGCTAAGTCAGGATCAGTCACAAACTGATATAAAAAAAATTATGTTTATATCAATTTTCCGAACATTTATATATTAACAAAGTTCGACAAGTTTATAAATATTCCGTAAAATAGAAATTAACAAAAATGTAAAATGATAAAAATAAGTTTACCTGTTGCGCACGAACTTTTCTTCTTTCTGCTTTCTTAATGTCTAACTTTTGTTGTACTTGATTTAGTAACTTGATATATTCTTCATTTCCTATGGACTTTTTAATGATAGTAGCTACTTCTTTTGCAAGCTGACGCAATTCAACGTTCGTGTCTTCTGTCGTAGTCATTTCCCGTACCAATGGAGACATAATATTAAAAAGTATCGCGTTCAGATACTCAATAGGTACTGTAGTTACTACACCCGCAATGAACTTAAACATTGCAGTTCTCTGAAAATATGTTATTTGCATGGTTTATTTTCTCTCTCTGGTATGACAATTTCAGATTCATAATAGATACATAAATACGTTCTTATAATTTTTCTTACCACTGATGTTGATTTGGGAGCTTGCGTTATTTCTATATTAACAACTTTTCTGAATCTCCTGATAACCCAAAAAAAAGATAAGTTATTGCTATTTTTTGCTTTATTTCCATTATCTTCCTCGTCATTTTTCGCAACGGATCCTGTAATTGATTTCAACATCTTTGCGATAAAGATTAGATTTTTCACAACTTGATCTGCTAACTTTTCAAATGTCATGTCCGGATAAAGTTGAGCCATTAAATCCAGAATCAAACTCTTTACAGTTTCAACAGGCTTCGAATACATGTAACCTTCGTATATTTTATTATTATCTGGATTATTTATAAGTTCCACGATTTTATCAACGTCAAAAGTAGTCAAAATAAAACCGATCATTTGTGCTGCTGCTAATCGAACCCATAAATGTGGATGTGCCAACAATGATTGACTATATTCTGAAATAAAATATAAAGATGCAATATTTATTAAAAAAAAAGATTTTCCAATGTTTTAACAAAAAATAACTTACCAGCAAAAGAGTTAATGAAATCTTTGTACTTTTCATTTGTAAGGAAAGATGTATAATGTGCTATCTTTAATAGCAGTTGTAATACTTGAATTAAATGATGATCTTTTGTTCTTTCTTCCTTTAAATTGGAATCTTTCTGTAAGTGTGTCGTATTATCTAGTTCCATATATTTTCCGAATTCGGCATTGTCAGAAGTTGAGATATTTGTGTGAAACTGTTTTAACAACAATGGTAAAACTTGAGGTAATCGCGAATCGAAATCGTTTTTTTCGACAGTCACGAATATGCCACATAACTGTGCCGCTAATGTCCGGTATCTTATGGAATCATTTAGCCACTGAAGGGGCCACTTGTCAAATAGTTTATTTCTATCATTATAGGATATCCGCATAAGCATTTCCTTTATACATTTTGCACAAAGTTTGCGGCAGGTTGGGTCGTCATCGTCTATTAATTTTGCACCGGTCATTACAAATATGATTTCTGACCTTACAGTTAGCGTCTTCAATGGGAATCCCGTGACGATGGTATGAATCATTTCTAGTGCGCTCAGCCGACCCGGTTGCATTTCGTAACTCAACTGAGTGAGATAGAAATATATATGTTTGTCTAAATGCTTGCCAAGTGGATAACTCATGAGGTAAGAATAGAACACAGAACGTGATTGCAATTTAACGTGCTCTAGCTCCGAGGTAATACTCAGCATTGCTACTTTCTCCATGACAGTGTGCATTTCTGGGATAATCATTTTTCGATGTATTATAGCCTTGAGTAAGGTAAACGCGGTAGCGTGCTTATCGCTGTCGTGTAGGTCTTGCTCCGCGTATAAAATAAGAATCTTCAGCTGATCGGCATTAATGCTGAAGTATTTCACATCACGAACGACCACGGACATACATTTGAATGTGGCCATTACAAGATCGAAATTATCTCCTTTACTTAATCCTGCAGCAGCGTACTTGTGCAAAATGACGAACATGGAATCGCAGATGTTCGATATCGATGCGTGCATCGATTCTAGGTCCATTTTTAGCATCCAATTTAAGCATTGTAATGCTACAGTGCATAGCTTGATATGATGAGACTTTAAACAATTACTTAAAACTGACACAAATGGTTCTAGATAACGTTTGTATTCCATTCCGGAAACTTTGTCCCGTTTCAGCAATATATGATACAATTTCAAACCGAATTCTATCATTACATGAACGTTGGCGTGTTTGGTAGTTTTTGCAGTAACTTTAATACCCATCCTGTTTTTGGGTTCTAATGGTATAAGAAAATAATTCGATCGTTGCATCAAAGTTTTCGTTTCTATTCTTCGCTCATCTTCCGCGAGCTTTTTATTTTCCTTTTCAGGTACAAGGCCTGGTATGCTTTCCGAAATAATACCGTAAAGAAATATGAGCATTTGTTCCAAGGGTATATAAGCATTGTCCGCCAATCCCAGAGTTACGTTTCGGAGGCATTCCACAATCTTATGTATCATTTTATGCGAGTGCGTCTTTATTAGCACTTCTTTCAACGGCAAAATTAAGTCTAATAAACAAGATTCTGTTATAAACTCCGCTAAGATATGGAAAATATCAAAGCTCTTAGTACTCTTTGCCTCCGATACATTTTTAATAATACCCGCTATCTCCTTTTCTTCCGCGGTTAATCCAAATAAATCAACTTTGCACACCTAAAGATAATTATTTGAAGATATACAAAGTGTTTAAATATTTAATCAAGCTCTTTATCAGTATATTGTATTAATTTTTATCACAAGAATACATTATATGTACAAACATGGGTATGTCAATATATTCTTTCAAGATTCCAGACTTAAAAAATGTTTCTAAAATATTCAAATAAGTTGTCGAGAATGCAGATATTATTTAAGATTGCTTAAATATTAGCAAAGAAAAAAAGAATTATAGTTAAATATCAAGTAATACGATGTATGGATACATGATATTACAAATACAAATTATACTATATCAATAATTTTTATAATATAATTAATAAAATATATTGGTAAAGTTTGTGCGGTCAAATAATAGATAATTCAAAAATAATACTTACGGACAAAATACTTTGTAAATTATTATTAATATCCATTTTCTGGTAATAAGGCTTCAGCGTGAATAATACAGCCTGTACCGTATACGCGAGAACGTGCACTTGAAAACCTTTCGTTAACAATGTATTAAGTTCCTTCAAAAGATAATGAAGATACTTCGGTCCTAAAGTTATCATAATTTTCTGTAGTGTCTCGCGAGTCGCACGTCGAACCGATTCCATACGCGATTTGAGGAATGTACACAGTTTCATAAAAATTCTAAAAAATGCATTATAAATTGAAATAATTATATGTTATATTTACGTAAACGAAATAATCTTCGAGCATATAAAAAAATGCAAAATATCTTTATGCTATCGCGTATTTACACTACTTACCCTGGCAGATTTGCATCCAGAAGGTTCTCAGGCATTTTCTGCAGTAACTTAACAAGCGCGAGAGCAATAGGAACTCTCAGTAAATCATCCTCTTCCGTCTCGGAAGCGATCTTCTTCTTGTTGATTTTATGACTACTCTCTTGCCGAGTTCTCCCCACGATGGATCGATGCAGTTGAGGCAACAAGCCGTTCGATATACCGAACACTACTTTCTTCGCACCGTATTGAGAAAGTAGTGTTTGTCTTTCAATTATTGG